CACACAAGACCAAGCTTAAACGCTTTAGTATGAGTTACATGAAGAAGCGCGTAGTTCCTCCTGTCGAGATTCCAAAAGAATTAAACAACCAACACGCGTTGTCTACGATCGTTTCTGGTTGCAGAGTGCCGCTCACACGCTGCATGTGGAACAACTCAAAGCGCAAGACACACCACATGGAACAAATCTCCGAGTACTACCCGCTCCGCTGCACCCTATATCGATGACGCACGACTCTTCCATCACACCAAATCGAGAAATGATAAAATATATAACATTCAATAAATCAAACTGTTCATTTAAGCGTTGAATATGGCGTTGTATCTTAACATTATACTCATTTCGTCACAAAATGAAGGTCGATTGAACGAGGTGATCTTGTCACTTCGGGGAGATTTCTATACTGGCAAAATAATACATAAGCTTTCATCCTGAGCAATCGTCGTTAACATATTTAGGTTGTGTGTGTGCGATGTTTTTGTGCAAAATTGTGATGGCGAGCCCATAAAAGTCGAGAAATTGGTTTGAACATGACCGATTCATCAATTCAGAATGTTTATACTTGGTGTCTTACCATGTGCTTCCTTTGGCCGGTAATTATCATTGAAAGTTTGCATTCTGTCGTATCTTTTTACATCCTAATCCCGATCTCTGGATAAAACGTATATAGTGGTAGCCGGATTTTTGAAAATTCAGGTGCACCGGAATTTCTGAGTGCCTATTTCTTGTGGTATAATCAAATGTACAGAAGACTAGCTCAAAATAAACTTTATTTGAAGATAATTTTCTAACTCACAATGTACTAACGTGGGGTATAGCTTAATTAATTGTAAAATGACCACTGCCTTTGCTGCAGAATGCACAGGACAGAGACTTGATGACATATTTTAGGACCAACATTTTCCCTGCAGTAGCGTCGCTATTGACATGCTTCTGTCATTGCTAATGTTGTACAAGGCTGTAATCATCACATCGTAAGGATCTGTTGCTTACCATCACGCGTAAGAAATCATATAAAAACTTTGAAGTTAAACTTTTAAAAACAAAGAGCCTAATGTCGGACAAGACCACTTTTCAGTCTTTGATTTACTAAGGATCAATAGAAGTATATCCTCGGTGTTATGCTTCAATCTTGCGGTATTGAGCGCATATCCAGCACCTTTAAGGCTTGTCTTAGAATGGGATAGACCTGACACAAAATGTGACAGTCGTCGGCAAGGCACGTTGGACTTGTACATGAAACGTACTGCAACATGTCCAATAGAACGAGTGCCCACTTTCTGTTGCCAATCCTTTGCAATCGTGAGGTATACGGTTTTATACGTGCAGTTGATCGATCGGTCGCCAGCTCTTCGTAAGGTTTGTCTCGTTCAGAATCGAAATTATACGACATTGGTGGTTCTAGGCATGGGCGTATCTGTTCAGCGATACGTATTGTCTCGCGACAACTGGTCACAACCCCGAGCTCACGGGCCTTCGAAGCGCTCGAGAATTCGCCGCCGTCTCTCCCGCCCCGTGGCCATTGAGCTGCCCGAGGATGTGCTCGCACTGAAGCAAAATATCCTTACGTCACACCCAACCAAGCTCACACGGTTTAGTTTGAGTCATATGCGTCATATGGTTATTCCACCAGTCCTAATTCCTAAAAAGCTTAACGACAGTTGTGCAATGAAAACGGTCGTGTCCGGCAAATGCGTACCTTTGACTATGCGTATGTGGAAGAATTGCAAGAAAAAGATCAAACTTCTTGACAAGATCGCCGAACACGTCACGTATCGATAAAGTTTGTCTTTTCCGTTCCAAGTTAACGCTTTATCTATTACAATACCGCCATCCAGGAAGTGTCCGCCGATTCATCTCAGAATCATGCAGAGCAAGATCTTCTGAATCAAGTGGAGTTCTAACTTGACAATGAGTTACTAAATGTGGCGTCAATTTTAACTAGATACTTGTGTCCATTAAATAGAAATTCTTCTGGTTGATATTAATTCTGACAGTAACTAACGATCAGATTAATCTGCTGGGAGGTTTTTATGATGCTCTATCGTAATTTTGATAGAGCAGTTATTAGTGACTAAGAAGCAATTTTAAAAAATTAAGTAAGGTTCAAATTGGTGTGTACACCAAAATTAAGAAGGTCTTCGTTTGTAGACATACTTATCAGATTTATAATAACAAGATTAGATTGCCATATCAATCAAAAATGATCCTCGAACTTCTTTCGGACATTCTGTATGATTTGGTCTTCATTCAGACGTGATTTTCTTGAAATCTGGGAGAATAGTTTGTCGTAAAAAATCATATAAATTAGACCGTAACAGTCAAATTATATTTTTAAGAACAATTTCGAGATCTGATTATTCTGAGTAAAACGTTTAATAGTATCACTGGTTTGACCCAAGTCATCAAACGTTTCGGATCACCTTATACATGTGAAATTGCTTGGTTTTCGACTCTGGTATACCTCACTTAAAGTTTCTCATCAAGCTGATTGTCTTTATGAATCAAAGCATCATTTATCGATGACCAATCGCCCTTCTTACTTCTGGACGTCTTCCGTATTTGACACAAGTATCAGTTCTCTTATAAGCTTGTCAAAATCGATCGCCTTTAAATCATTTTCATTCTTCGCATTGATAGCGCGACATGACCTCTCATCATAAGTTGAATATCTATGTCACACACCTTCACGTTCTCTTCAGTATGACAGAATTTCTCCCTCTCTTCCAGAATCCGCCATGCTAAAGTCTCACTGAATTGTGCAATCGTAGGCCAGGTAGGCTCGTTCGACGTGACTATCGACGACGGCAAGAAGGTTTCTGTGTTGAAGGATGCGATCAAGGCGAAGAATACAGTGACGATCACGTGTGATGCTAAGGACCTGCGTCTCCTCCTGGCGAAGAAGGGCGCAGGATGGCTACCAAGTGCGGACCTTGCTGCGATAGAAGACGGAAAAGCGGTGCCGGGTTTTGAAAAAGTGTCATTGGTGGATACAAAGCGTGAGAGATACTCGACCTATTCGCTTTGGGATGTGCTGGAGACGAATGGAATGCCACCACCTCAAACGCGGCAAATTCACGTGCTAATGGTGGTTCCTCCGCCGAGTGTCGGGTCAAAGCGTTCAGCTGATGATGAAATTGCTGATGTCCAGAAGCCCGCCGTGGCAGCCATCAAGTCTAAGACGCTGACCAAGTTCAGACCTTTGTCCGTGCATGAAGACGAGTTTCGACTCGACAGTCTGTCTATCACGCAACAGAGTGACGACCCAATTGTCATGATACCTACCTTGCATGAGTTTTGGGAAGGACTCGGCGACTTCCCCCCGTATTATTTCGTTCGGGTTGCGGAAGTGATGTTTTGAAAGGTAATTAAGAAACAGCACTTCCAGAAGGATCGCATTGTTATAGTAGGCTCACCGGGAGTCGATAAGTCCTTCTTTCTCATGCTTGTTGCATTTACCTGGCGTGCATCAAGAGGAAGAAGGTGCTTGTCATACGTCGCTTGAAAGAAAGGAAGCGTATGAACGCAGTGGTGTTTTTTAATGGCCGAGGGTCGTACGCGTGACTTTCGGATCTCTAATCTCATGATATTAAAGCTATCCATTGCCAAGTCAAGGGTGTAAATGTCCTAGTTGATGGTTTTAATCAAGAAAAGTGGAATGCCCCGACAAAAACTACATGCCATTCGATGTTCTCGCAACATGGTGCCAGTTTGACGCGAAACAAGACGACAAGTCACGCATTGTGATTTTGCCGGCGTGGCGTGATGTTGACCTGCTGCAGTACGCGAAGTTAACGAACTGGGTTCTGGTCTATGCAAGATCAAGCGGCAGGATACACCATTTCCGAAACTTGTTAATGAGCAGTACTTCTAAAGTGGCGGCAGTATGCGCGAGTTCTGTATGAAACGGCGCTCGCCTTTAGAGCGTGTGGCGAGAGACTGCTGTGCCGTGGGAAATGATCAAGCGTTTGAGTTGGTGTACAACTATGGTAGGGGACAAACCAGGAGCCAAGTGGATAGTTTGCGGCGTCACTACATCACTGACTGCAACCAAAAAGTGAAATATCATGACAGTCGATGGTGGAAGGTATCTGTGGATTTCGGATATGTGCTGAGCCAGTTGAGGCGGAAAATTGACACGGACAAGCAGCTAGAGGTTTACAAGTATGCAAAATCTGTTGGTGCCGGTTTCCATTGGGTCGCGTACGAACAATTGCTTCACAACGCAGTTCGTGGGGCATCCGTAAAACGAAACCCGGTTGTGCTGAAAATGCGGGAAGGGTCGATATACGAATAAATCCGGGTGGCCAACGTCGTTTGCAGCGGCGAAAATGCGTAATCGTGCTATCGTTGCCTAAGCACACTTAAGAATTTACTTACTGGTACCCCGACTACCCGTTCATTCCTTTTATCGACGCAGTGACTACGTGTGAAGCGTTCCGAAGTAAGGATGGGC